ATCGTGCACAAACTTTTTGCACCTGACATGCTTATCTTCCTCTGTAATATTCTAAACAGCTCACTTCTCTTAAGAGGAACCAGCAATTCCTTACTGTAAATCGATGGTAGTAACCACTAAATTCTGGAGTAGGATGGGAAAAAGGTAAATCCTAAGTTTGAAACCTGTCATATGAAAAAACAAACCAACACCGTAACCAATGAGTGAAGAAGCAGGTTGTGAGCAACATTGACCATCCACCTAGCTACACAAATGATAAAGCTTGAGTGCACATTATGGATAATAGGAAGTGGAAATGCATCTTGTAAGCACTGATACGAAAAGAAAAGAACAAATGAGAAGATAATTGTCCAAAAAATAATTTCCAGTGGAATAATTAGGAGTACAATCGAATAAAATCAACTGGACATAATCAGAGGAAAGAAGGGTAAACCATGAGCATGCATCAATGAACCATTATACAGGCAGGCAGGGAAAATCAAGGGCAACCCAAATAAGAAATTTTGTTGACACATTCAGAAATAAATGTAAAAACATGGATTGATGATCAAGATTAAAAATTTCCCAATGATAACTAATTAAAAATTTCAAACATCATAACTAATCAAAAATCCCAGAACAACCTAGAGAGTACAACTTAAATTACACTCTCAAGAAGCTTAGAGACCAAACTAAGTGCAGAAATAAGTTAAATAAGTTAATTCATAGAACCCATTATAGAAAATTGTCTTCAATGTCCGGTCACAATAATATTAAAAGCAGATATAGATCCCTTTGATTTTCCCAAATAAATACATAAATTCGTTTAAACTTGCTCGGGGATGATAAAGAATTCAAAGGTACCCAAGAGATAAGTTGAAAATGCAGTCACAAATATAGCAAGTGATTAATCCTTCAAAATGTATCAAAGGGTATCCATTATGATCAAAGTCTGAATATTTTGCACAACTGAAAGGCCGATACACGCATCCTAATGAACCTCAAGAACACTAAGTCACAGTAAACAACTGAAAAGTTAAAACAAAAAATCAAGACCCAGTTTTGAGGTCCCAAAAACCCAATGCATCAAAATTCAAATGGATCAATGAGACAGAAATACAGACCCATAGGAAATAGGAAAAAAGTACGGAAAACCCACCTGGCTTTCTTCTCCGCAACTTCACTGATGAAGTTGAGACTACGAAAACAATCCACATAAAGCATAGATAGAGGGTGAAAAAGTCTGTAACTTTAACTTGCCTTCACTTTTATAACTCATATTTTCCTTTCTTATACTGTATGCACTGAAAACCTCTGATTTTCCTTTCTTATATTGTATGCACTGAAAACCAGAGACAGAGGCTCTTCACTGAGAAGAAAACTGAGACACTTTCTCTCTTATTTACACGTACACACGATTATCAAAGGTTATGTATTGTATGCGGCTTGGTATAAAACTACGTATATTCTCAGTTTTGAACCTTTTGGAGTTATGGCAATGTGGCGGCATCTTCTGATGTAAATCTAATATTCTCTCTAAGTAGTTACTCATTTACAGTAAAATCTCTGGCCGTTGCCTTTTCCAGTTTGTGAAAAATAGAGGATATTTATTTGTTTGTTTTAACTTGTCAAAATATGTGGTGCTTGAGGATAAGAATATGTAAATGAAGAATATATCTGTTTAATTAACTTGTACAAATTTTGAGAAAACTTGTAAATTTTCAATTAAACTTTAATCCTCAAAAAGGAATGGACTTTTTTTTTCTTTATAATTAGCGCTTGTCATGTGCGGAGTTTTCAAATGATGTACTAAACTCTTATTCTATTAGGGTTAAATTTAGTAGCATTATGAATCCAACCAAAAGGTTGGGACTAAGTTGGATTGAATTATGTCTAACTCTATCATATTTTATGTGTAGTACTGTAGGGGTCTTTTTATTTCAGCAGCCTGACAAATGGGCTTGGGCTGCCATAAAGAGAAACAGGTAAAGCCGCCCTTTGTATCTGAGTTCAAGAACCAGGCTCCAAGAACGTTTTGAAAAGTTTGTGAGAACCTTAGAAAACACCCTAGGTATCTTTCACCAGTAAGCCAAATGCACGTGGCAAATTATTAATAGGACTTGCTTGAGGAGCTTGTGGCATGGGAGCTAATCCTTCACAAGTTTAGCAATTTGAGAGAGAGAGAGAGAGAGAGAGAGAGAGAGAGAGAGACAAAAGCATGAACTTCTTACAGAGAGAAAAGATTCAGAATGGGGAAGAGGAAAATTAGGAGGATTTCTATCTCAGGAAGAAAGAAAACAATGGGAATAGAAGATAAGGTGTCTTGAGTAAATTTCCAGTCACTTGACAAAGCTTGGTCGCGCTCTGGATGATGGTGTTTTGCTGGGTAGAGAAAGCTCCATTTTATAGGCACTTAGAACCCCTAATTTTATCAAACCTCCTTTTTCCTTTTCCTTCACTTCCTTCGATTCACTCATATTTGTTGAAATTTCCCTAACCAGAGTGTCTGGGTAACAAGTCTTTTTGGGGTTCCAAGATTTTTACGCAACTGGACCTCTCCATGTGGGTGAGGCTCCACCCACTTTTCTCATTGGTTTTCCTATTAGAGCTCGCAAAGGAAAAGGAGAATGGATGGAGCGTTTGCCCAATGGGTATTCTTCCTACACATATGAATTTCCTTTGGTTTTTGCAATAGTTTCTCATTGACTCTGTTATAGAGCTTTAACAAGGACTGAACATGATGCTACATATTTTATAAGGCGCTGGGCTGGGCTTTTCCTAAGGTATTGGGTCATTGGTGCTCTATTTCCAGCGGCCTATGAGTTTGGTTTCGTCACGCTGTTGGAAATAGTTTATTTGCTTTGTTTTTTGACAAAGTGTTGGATGCTTTAAGTAATGTGGGATTTTTTAAGTGTTGTAGCAGGCCATTAGATATTCTCATGAGGCATTGGATCACTTTTCTTTCTCTCTCATGCTTACCCACATGTTTAGGCCCAAGAAATGGGCTTGAGTTTTAGTGCTCCCAAGTAGCCCAAAACTTCCATTTCTTGAACCCTCAATGGGCCTTATGAGTGCTCGTACCCATCCATACCACAACCTTCTCAGTAAGCCCCAGATATTTACGCAGCTTGGGCCCACTTAAGCCTATAGCATGGGTTGGCATTAGAATAACGGTCCTTTTGCTTGGCATCGCATGTTTATTTAGCATGTTTGTGCTTGAGTTCTATTCTGCCGTAATAAACTATGACCGAGCCAAGTAGCACTTGATAGGGTAGTAAGTGTGAATTTATAGAGCCGGTGCGTTTTGACCATTTTGACGTGGCGGGTGCGTGTGTTTGCTTGGCGTGGCGTGTGGCCCATAACTCGTGCAGGTGCGTCCCACAAGTTCTCATATGTCCCAGTTGGGCTCCTTTTGAGGTTAAATATTTGTGCTAGGCTAGGAATAAGTTTGGGCCCAACCTTTGGATTTTTGGGTCTCAACAAGTACCAAACACATAATTGAATTAGTGTTATACTCTCCAATTCAATGTAAGTTAATGTAATCCAATGTAATCAAATACAATCAAAATCTACCTCATAATTCAATTCTTCATAGATGTTATGAATCCAAGTTCTAACAATCAAATTCAGCCAACGGGTCTAGCATAGTAAAAAAAGACCTTGACTTATAGATAAGTGGTCTTAGGTTCGAATATGACACCTTAATAGTGAATAGTGGTCTCAGGTTCGAACATGACACCTTGATAGTGTTTGTGTGTGAGAAACTCCCTCCCCATTATAAACTATCGCTTGTATTTTAAAAAAGAGATAGGCTAAAAGTCACTTTCGGTCTCTGTAGTTTGGCACTTCAACCACTTTTAACCCTATAGTTTCAATTCCATCAATTTTGACCATGTAGTTTCGTATTTGTAGCAATTCAAGGACAAGTTAGTATTCCTGACAATTTCTTTGGCAGTGCAAGGGCAATTTCGTCAACTCAAAATCCTTGAGCATAAAAGCTCGTCTGAAATTCCCCTAGTTTCATATTAGGGCTTGAAATTGGTCATTTGGGTTTAGGGTTCTTCAAAAATTGGGATTAGTGGTTGAATTTCGAGCCCTAATATGAAATGGGAAGAATTTTAGACAAGCTTTTACGCTTAAGGGTTTTGGGTTGATAAAATTGCCCCTTACATTGTTAAAAAAATTGACAAGAATATTAACATGTCCTTAAATTACTACAAATACGAAACTACAATGGCATAATTGACAGAATTGAAACTATAGGGTCAAAAATAATTGAAATGCCGAACTACAGGGACCAAAAATGACTTTTGCCCAAAAAAATAAATAAATTAAATTCATTAATAATTCCTTTACGCTTTTCCCTTTCTATCCCTACTTTTTGGTGCTCTTGAATTCCTTTTCTTTATTGCTAAAATTGAAAAAGAAACACAAACAAGTGCAACGTATCTCTCAAATCCTATTTCTTTTATGTATCTGGTGTGCATGGTACATCAGCTTAATAATAAGGCCATGTCTAACATAAACAAATAAAATAAAATAGTGACTCTAGAGCTTTGAGGACCCATCTACCAACTATCTATGTATGCAAGGGCACAACTCATGAAAGAATGTTTCTTTTTTCAAATTTAGGAATGATAGTCAATATTTATGGTTAAATTACTAACATATAATGTTAACACCACAACATATATGGATTTAGCCCCATTATACACCCGAATTCAAATCACCCTTCTCATAATTTAAATGACATTAAAATATAATATCGTTTGTATAAAAAAAATTGTTAACATCACATAAAAATCTGTATTTGTATTTTTTTTTAAATTTGATAAACTAAAATATAAATATCATCTGGGTGTGAACTTTTTCCAAACAAGGACCCAGCTCAAACCAGCATCCACTAGGCCCAAAAAGCCCAGAAAAAAAAAAGAAACAAAAAACAATAACGCATTAACGCATCTGTACCAAAGAAAAAAAAGGAAGAAAATAAACAATAACGTACCAGGTGTGTGATATAGCAGTGCCAGTGACCCTCTTTTATCCCCAATTCTTTACTCTCTCTGCCTTCTTGTCTTTATTTTCCCATCTCAGTTCTCCTGGAAGGAGACACAATTAATTTCAACTCTGAGGAAATTTCGAGTTGAAGCTCTTTCAGAAGCTTCAATTTGGCTTGCGACTGAGGAAATTTTGAGAAAAGTTTCGATCTTTCAAGCCTGTAAAAACTTGTCCTTTGAGGTAAGATTTAAGGGCTTCATTTCTCGATTTTGAAACTGCTGGAGTTTGAATTGAGCTTAAGAATTAGGAAATTTTTGGAAAACGGATGGTGGGTTAGTTTTTGTTTTACTTTTCATGAGTTTAGAATGATAAATTTGGTGACTTTGTTAGGGTTTACTTACCAGTCTATTGACCTAAGGGTATTGAATTCTCCGACAACGATTTTCACCATAAAAATAGGTTTCTTTTTGGAGAGATATTCAGCGGGGTTCTGATGTTTTCGTGATTTTCTAAAACAAAATGCTGATTTGGAGCTAGTTTCAGTTTTTCTTTTTTCAAAAGAATTTTTTTGTAGATGATGGTGATGATAACAAAGTTTCATGAGCTTGGATGATTTGGGGTTTTAGTTATATGAAGGAGGAGAAGTTGTTGATTGGAATAAGAAGCTAGCTGAAAAAGGATAATGGTATGGATTTTGTTGGAGTTTAGCCCAATTGAAACGGAGAAACTGGTGGTTTGGAACTAGCAAGTAGGGTCTTACTGGTGTATCGTATTTGTGGTGGTTTTGTTGTTGTTAATCTTGAGTTCGTGTTGAAATGGATGACACCGAAGATGATGCAAGGTATCCTCCAAACCCATATGGTGTGAATCACCAGCAGGGTTATGGTTCTTCTCAAAGGCAGAAGCTTCCTGTTCGTAGTGGTCCATATTCTAGGCCAGTTGGCAGTCACTATGTTGATGATGAAGAGGACGATGAGGATGAAGAGGATGAAGAGTTGGGTGAGGAAGAAGAAGACAACAATGGTCAAAATGGTTATCCGTCTGTTCACAAAGATGTTGATGATGATGATGACGACGAAGATGATGGTGATGATGAGGAGGATGAGGAGGATGAAGATGATAATAAGAGCAAAGTTTATAATAGAATGATTGATGATGCTGATTTAAAAAAGCACCCAAAGAAGCGGAAGTTGAAGAATTTGATCTCAAGTTATGAATTTGCTCCTCGTCTACCAGCTCCTCCAGCTGCTGCACCCTCTGCTCCAAGACAATCAATTGGTGGCCGAAATTCGCTTACCGATTGGACCGAGCATGAGACATTTGTGTTACTAGATGCTTGGGGTGATCGGTTTCTTCAACGTGGAAAAAAGAGTCTTCGCTCTGAGGAGTGGCAAGAGGTAGCGGAGAAGGTTTCAGAGGTGTCAAAGATTGAAAGGACAGACACACAATGTCGCAATCGGTTGGATACCTTGAAGAAGAAGTACAAAAAGGAGAGGCTCAAGTTCGCAGAGACTGGTGGTGCTACTAGCAAGTGGGTTTATTTCAAGAAGATGGATATGTTAATGTCATCACCACAACAGCAATCTGGCCTGTCTTGTGGTTTGGACTCAGGGGAGTATGTTTTCATGAACCCTAGAGTGTATTTGAACCGTGCAAATGGGTTGGATGAGATGAGGGATAGTCCAGGAAATTCAGAATCTGCTGAGGGAGTGGATGATGATTCTGATGGGCTACCACCCAAGAAGAGAAGGTACGGAAGGGACAATGATGATCGGTGTTCCTTTAGATTGCTTGCTGATTCTATTCAGAAATTCAGTGACATATATGAGAAGATTGAAACTAGTAAAAGGCAGCAGATGGTAGAACTAGAGAAGATGAGGATGGATTTCCACAGGGACTTGGAAATGCAGAAAAGGCAGATTATGGAGAGAGCGCAGGCTGAGATTGCAAAAATACAGCAGGGTGATGACGAGGAGAATGATATCTCTGCCGAAAACGCTAGTGGGTGATATGAGTATCTATCTATAATGTCAACTAGTTATGTTAACTGCTAGCTGTTGTTGTAACAATTGGGGGCCTTTATCCCTTTTAATTTCTTTTATGGAAATAAGTTGTTGATGTTGTAGCAGATATGGTATTAGAAATATGAAAATTCGAATTACTATTGTATTGCCTAGTTCTGTTCCCTTTTGTTCCACGTTGATGGTCTTATATGTATCCACTTGTGCTAGTGGTCTGTTTTCTATTTTGATTGCCGCTGCCAGCATTTTGAGCTGAAAATCATGAAGATGCAACAATATATATGTTTTAAGTCTTTTGACAGATCCATATGCCTTGGTGCATGAGTTTTGTATGTTTTGTTTTTGTTACAAAATGCAGAATCTAGTCTAAACTCATCCCTGAGTTCTCAACCATCATTTAAAAGGAAATGACAATTACAACCTTATCCACCCATAATATTAAAAGGACATGAACATTAATGCTGCGAGCCTCCAGATTGGGGTGCTCCATCCGCATTGTCCCCATGGGACTTGTGAAATCTAGTGCATTTGAAAAATAAAGAGTGAAACAACATTTAGAATTCATGAGGTGGAATGTATAGTTATAAGTCACTGATAATCAAATTTCCAATTGGGTACAATGAAACGCGTCAGGATCAATTATGCCTTACAAATATAGGCGGTGAATGAACATGAGTTCATAACATTCTTTCATATTACTACAATTAACAGCTACTGCATTTCAGCACTGAATTTGTCCATCTACTGCTTAAGTTACAATACATGAGCAGTGCGGATTGTGTAGCCGAAGAGCAACCCTCATTCAAATCGTATTTACAAAGGTAACATTTGAATTGGGTTTTCTACAATCCACTGTCTTTATAATGATAAGTCGTTATTAGTGTTTTTCTTTTCTTCCAGCAAATTCCAACTGGAAGATACTAGAAATTTGTAGGATATATGGCTGAGCCGCTAGCGCTTAACAGGGCGTATAACCTGCAGAAGAATCAGCATTTCATGAGTGAGTTAAGTATACAGCAGACGGTTTATAACAGCAATACTAAAAATTTGATTACTAGGACATAGTGTGTATCACTCACACAGCCCACATGCAATTAAGAAAAACATTGTCATATGAACAGCTCAAAACATTAGCCCATACATCGTAACTGATAATTATGCATGTGGTATCAACTGATATTGCATACCTTCACAAGTTCATTTTTTGTTTTTCTTCTTATTAGCAGGTCTTCAATCATCTTAATCAGAAACAGTCCTTAACCCTGGGTATGTAGTGTAAGTAAAAGAAGAGAAACTATCTCATACCATATCCCTCTGAGGAAGTCTTGCGAACATCATCAACCTTGCCAACCGCCTCAAGTATTGATGAGTAAGTGATGAGATCATATTGAAAACCTTTTGAATCCATCTCTTTCATCAGCTTTGCAGCCTCCTCAAGCATACCAGCTCGGCTGAGACAACCAAGAACAGTGTTATAAGAAACTGCATCTGGTTGAATCTTAGAATGCTTCATCTTGGAAAACATTTCCAAAGCCCGATTTGGTCCACCTGTCCTGGCCAAGCCATTTAAAATGATATTTTGTGAGTTTAGGTCTGGAATGCAACCATTTTCTTCCATTACTTTAAGCAAGGAATGCGCTTCATCTATCATGCCAGCCCTCACCATCCCTGACATGAGCGCATTATAAGCATACACATCTGGAGTGCATCCGAGTTTCTTCATCTCATTAAAAAGATCCAAAGCTTCATCGAGACGCCCGCATTTCCCAAAATGTTTAATCATCACAGCATATACCCTAGCACTTGAACGCCCACAGTTCTCTTTCAATTCTTGAAATAACTCATTTGCAGCTTCATACCGCTTTGCTTTTCCAAGACTGTTGATCAGGCTGCAATAGGCAGCTGGACAAGGAGGAAACCCCTTTTCATCCATCTCCTCAAGAAGCAACAGAGCTTTCTCAACTCTATTTGTTTTGCAAAAACCATCAATAAGAATTGAATAGGTAAATGAGCTGGGAACAATGCCATTAACTTTCATCTTCTCAAACCATGAAGCAGCATCAGAAGTTGGAGCTTTGGATTCAAATAAAGCTTTAATTATAGTGTTGTATGTCACCACATTAGGTGTGCAACGCAAAGAAACCATCTCGTTGAAAAGCTTAATTGCATCTTCTATACGACCTTCCTTTCCCAAAATGTTTATCAAATTGTTAATGAGCACGACATCAGGCTTACAACCCTCCCTCAGAAGGTTTTTGTATATAACACAAGCATCTTCAACCCTACCAGCTTTGCCAAGGCCCTTTATCAATTCAGTGTAGGTAAACACAGTAGGCGGACACCCCTTCTCTCTCATCTCCTGGGCCAGGCTTAAAGCTTTCTCAACTTTTCCCAACTTGAAAAAGATTGCCAACAGGGTAGTATAAATCTTTGCAGTTGGATGCAAACCATTATCCTTCATTTCATCAAACAACCTAATGGCAGAATCATCACGACCCAATTTCCCAAATGCCGATATTAGTGCACTATATGTAACTGTGTCTGGGAGACAGTTAACCTCATTACACATCTCATTATAGAGCTCATGGACCTTGTCATGATGACCTTCTTGCATCAGCATTAAGATCATGGAGTTGTAAGTGTTTGCTGTTGGTTTGCACTTGTGGCCTTTGATCTGGTAGAAGACAGATAGTGCCTTGTTTACCATCTTAGCCCTGCCTAAGATTCTTATGATTTCAGATAATTCAGCTGGCTCAATAACACATGTACTCCGAACCATTTCTTGGATGGTTTTCCACATTTCACCAACAACACCAGCCTCATCCAAGCAACGGATCACCGCCATGTATGTGGTTGAATCGTGTTCGAAATTCCTTCTCTTCCCAGCCCACTTGAAAAACTGAATCTTAACATTGACTTCAACATCAATCTTGAGAACCGCGAGAACCAATCGATGATCCACTCTCAACTTCAGCACTTCTAGGGCCTTTTCTGCATCAGGTCCCCATTTGAAAATTTTCAAAATCTTTGTGAACCTCTCATCCAACATCCTAACTGAAGGATCCTTCCTTGACATATTCCTACTCATGGGAAAGTTTTGCACTTCTCCAGAAGCACGGGGCAACCGGAACATTTTAACTATCTCATTTTCTGCTAAGCCACAACATAACAACAGGTTAATATAGAAGAAATATCGGTATATTCAATCAAAACCATGCTAATACAGAAATACAAGTTGTTAAAACGTACAGCATAACCTTGCCAACCAAATCAAAAACAAAACAGTCAAAGAAAACCCAATTGCAGAAATTGAATTCGAAACAAATGCTTGCTTCACATATTTAAGCTGAAATTGATACATAGAATAATGCGGCTTACCTGTTTGATTAAGTCTCTCAGAGAGATGAGGATAGGTTGATATTGATCGCTTTAAAGCAAACGATTTGGCAACCATTTTGCCCATAAGTAACGGGGATTTGCACATAAATTTACACCTGAGGCGGCAAATTCCACTCATGCTAATTGCTAAAACAGTATGACGAATTGATTTTTGCCTTCAAAGGAAAATGATACGACAAAAGCATACCCCAACATTGCTCCTAGTCAGTTCGTCGTTGTCGTTTCAATGAGGAGAAGAAAGGAGATAGGGAAGAGGGAAAACAGAGAAGAGAAGAAGTCCCTGCCAACAACTGTCGTTGCTGATGCCGCTGTCTACTTATAAGTGAAGTGAGAAGCTTTAGAAACTGCCATGTTTAATTTTGTGCGCGAAGTACCTGATCCCGCGAGCTTGTGATTGATCAACCCCTTCTCCAATGCGAATTGAGTATTTTTTTACTAAGGTTTGTGTGTCATAATGAATATGTAAGTCAATTTTCGTAAAATAAAAGACATTATTTGAACATGATACCAAATTGAGGGATTTGGTGGACCAATTCATATATGACAAACACGCTTAAAACGCTTAACACCGACAACAAAGAGTCCGACTTAGGCAAGGGACTTGTAGCTCCATCAATTTAATAAGAGCATTTACCTTTACATCTGTAATCCTAAGTTTAATTCCCCTCTCTCCCAATATCGCTTGTAATAAAAAATGTATATATATGACTTAGTATCAGACACAAGAAACCCCACCTTTTATTAACTTGTCTTCTTTTTTTTCCTTTATCGATGAGGTGAGAGATTTGGACTTTAAATGTCTTTCCATATTGGTATGAGAAATACCGCTATACCAAGAGGTAGTTGGTGGGCAACTGTCTAAGCTGGTACCATATGCAAAAGAAAGTTACTTCAGTTTCCATATCTTAGTATGCGTCCCATGAATCCTTTTGTATGATTTATTTTAAGATTTCTATTAATATCAATATAAGTTACATAAACTTCTGTGTAAAAATTGTGAGATGATCGGAACAGTGTGGAAATAGAGAAAATTTTAACCTACTTTAATGTCAATTCTCAAGACCACTTAATGGCATAATTACTCGCTTGAAATGGGAGAGAGAAATACCAGATACGGAATCACCTACTCCGACAATCAATCTAATTCTTGATCATGAATCGGATCAATTCAAATACCCACCTCTTAATAAATACGTAGGATGTACAGAATACTAGCAATACTCCATTCAAGTAAGCAAAGGAAAGAGGACAAGTTTGTTTTCGGTCGGTCGTTTTATCCTTCTATTTTTCATCCTAATCATACCATTTTCTTTTATACAATGAGAATTACCAAAGCAATTTTAAACTTCATTTTAAACTGAATCATCTTTTCCCGCTTGGGAGAATTACATTACTAATTTTTTTTTTTTGTGTTTTCGAGTAACATATGGAACTAATCATATATCAAATCCAAAATTTTCGTTCTCCCATCCGAGTGAAAATCACATTATCGCCGGAGAATGTAAAAGTGACTTCACATCTCATGTGATTTTCGCCGGAGAATGTAAAAGTGACTTCACATCTCCATTGGAGATGCTCTAAAGCACAAGTCTTGCACCAAAGACGACCCTGATGCAAATTATCCTATGCCAACAACATATGCTATCAACCTTGAAGCAAAAGATGTCCAGCCTGACCACATACATGCGATACTCGGAAACAAAATCAAGCAACCTTGTAAATTAATGAAATTTTAGAGATTGATTTAAAACATGAGGAAAGAGTAGCAACAATGGCCGACGTGAAGACGACTTGAAAGGGAATTAGTCTCATGTCCCTACATAAAGAGCAGGGAAATGAAACCAAGGGTACATTTCTCTTGAAAACCATTATAAAAAAAATCCGGAATTCTAGAGACCAAATGTAAAAATAATTAATTAAAACTGACAGACCACAAGCACAGAAAAGGCTTTACAGACTCCTAAAAAAGTATATCATTAAACACACCGCGGGCCTCTTCACCCCCTCTGAGAGTCCAAATTGTGTGCAAGGCTCAAATGAAAATGTTTTTACGCTTAGGAATCAAATCCTGCCACAAAAACCATAGATAGGCAAATTACTCTACACAATTACGCAGAACTTTGGGGTGCTTCTGGCTTGTCGGTTTCCATTGGTTCTTCAGAAGCTTGTGGAACCTCATTGCTGCCGTCGGCGGGGTTCTCATTGCTGCCGGCATTGGCATTTGCATCCCCGCCCTGAGGCTGGTGCTCATTTCCCTGAGGAGGTGGGGTTGGAGTTTCAGGAGCTGCTGGCTTGGCTGGTGCTGGTTTTGGTTTCGTCATTATGGGTCTACAGAACCTGTCCGTGCAAATAGATTGGGAAAAGATAACTACCCAGTCAGATATCACTGGGCCAAAAGACAATTGACTAGAGACAAACAACCAAATTCTAAGAAAAGACTTTGGCACTTCTACAGAAAGGTTCCAAAATATTATGCAAGCCAACCAGTTTCAGAACACTAGCAAAAGAAAAAAAATTCATGAATGCAGAAACAATACCTGTCAAGTGCTTCAGCCTTCCGTCTCACATCAGCTGACAAGAGTACCGGGTTGGCATATTTTGGGAGCGAATCCTGTTGCTGTTTTTTCTCTCTTAACCAGGCCTCAGCTTCAACACACTCATTTAAGATCTATGTCACACAAAAAACATGAGTTAGAATGGAAGAAATTGGTGGATGGGAAGAGATTGGGGGATGGGAAAGAGCTCAACGAGTCCATTACCTTCTGTTTATCAGAAATATCAATGTGTTCAAATTTTACATCAGTCGACATTGCAGCGTCTCTGTAAGTACTAATACAGAAACCAAGTTGATCGATCACAGTACCCCTCTCTGTGTGCTCCTTGTATCGCTCTTCAATGGGGTCACCTTGCTGCAATTTGATAAATCACCATCAATTTCAAACAATCAAACCAGTCGAATATAATACTTTAAGATTGTTGTCCTCTTTTTAACAAATTAAACAAAACCAAACAGAGAAGGGCACAAAAAATCATTAGGAAAAAAAAAATCCTAACCTTCTTTAGCTCCTCAAGCTTGGCAATGTAAACTCCTTTGGTTTCATCTTCACCATCTTCATAGAGCCAGTCCTCCACCTCCTGAAGTCTAGCAATAAACGCTTCCCTCTCTGGTTCGGTGACAAATTCCTGATATTTGTCATTGAGCTGGAGACACAAAAGAAAATTTTGAGTCGGTGTATGAACAAGAAAAGAAAAGAAAAACCACAAAACATGCCATGAACATAGAAGAAGCAGACTACCTTGTTTCTCGTGTCATAGACATATGCCTCGACAGCATTTTTCTTGTCTTTTGTTTCTTCCATAACACGGTCTTGTAAGGCCATCTCAAACTCCTTCTCTATTGCCTTTTGCACATCTGATGGAGGCATCCCTCCATAAACTAACTCGACAACAGGAATGTTTGTTTTCTTTACCTTTCTCTTAGGAGCATCAGCCTGCATGGCATAAAAACATCAACAATGCAGCCAACCACTGAAATAAAACTAAATAAACCACTAATAACATTAAAAAGAACAGGAAGACTGTTTGTAATTCCAGGTAGCATTTGACACGCACAATCTATGACTTATCTATAGGTCATATAAAATGCAGATTGCATGTGGAAAGAACGATCACAAAAATGTTAAATAGTACAACTCCTCTGAATATTTCAAAGAACATGGAAACTTAAATGTATTTCAACATGATGGAAACTCTAAATATTTCACAAAACATTAAATCCTTCATCCTTCTTAGTCCACACAATAGTTGAGTCAAATCAAATAACCAAACCCTGCAATGTCAATATATACAGGGCTATTTGCCTACCTACCCGGAAGCTGAGGTCAAGGAGAAATAACAAATAACTCATGATTAACCAACATATGCCGAAAGGAGAATATTACTGACCTTCGTATCTGTTTCCATCTGCACAGGCTTGTCTCCTGACTCAGGAACACCATTTTCGGCACCCGAGGCATCAGCAGTGCCCTTAGCATCTTGCATGTTCACATCAGTCTCATTGGTACTTGGGGGAGCCGCATCACTAGGGGCCTCATCAGTCTCCATCTTAGCGCCCTCCTTAGGTTGCTCTTTTGTAACAGGAACCTCAATTTCTTCTTCTTCCAAGAGCTAAAGCACATGTCAAGAAAAAACAAATGGACTTAAAATCAACTAGTGACGGCTAGAAGCACAAGATGTTTTTAACAAACTTACAGTTGCTGAGTCTACAGACACAATCCCATGCAGATTCAGGCGAGCTTTGACCTTCAGTTTTGCCCGCTCACCTTTAGTAGACTGGAAAGGACCAATCTGCACATATAAAGTGTAAATGTCAATATAAAAATCTGGCAGATAACCTACTAGCCTTGAGACAAATTAGAGCATGCAAATTTTAAGATCCACTCACTGTGTATGTGCTGATTTTTGCAGGTGCTTGCAAATCAGAAACATCGGCATACTGTACATCAACTGAAAACGTGCCTGATCTGTAAAATGTAAGAGCCTTGATACTTGGAATAGGATTTCCCTTGGGGAAAACAATAGTACTTTGGTTATTATCGGCTGCTCCATTCTGGGTGTCTGGACCAGAACCTTTCCAGGACAAAGCAATTGAAAATGGGAAGCTCTCGTTCACCTTCAATTAAAAATAAATCAGCAAGGCAAACAAAGGTAACACGTTAATTAAAAATAGAGATTAGTTCAACTAATGGAAACAAACACAAAGATTTTTACAAAGCATGAGTTTAACTCACCTGAAACTCTCTGACTTTGAATGTCGGACTAAGAATTGCGCATTGTAGAGCACAACCCCTGGCAACACACTCACTTGCATTCATAGTTCGCCTAGGCTCCTTTTTGAAGAAATCTGTCAATATCTTGATTATAGCAGGAACACGAGAGCCTGAACCAACAACCTCAACTGTATGAATATTCTCTATTGAAAGCTGTGCATCAAGAAGAGCCTTCTCCAAAGGCCCCTTCACACGTTCCAAAATAGGAACACTAATTTGTTCAAACTCATCACGCTTAATAAATCCCCTCACATCTTTCTCTTCCATTAAACACTCTATATTCAAAGGTGCCTCAGGATTTGCACTAAGCATCTTCTTCAGCTTCTCACAAGCAACCCGAAGACGAAGGCAGGCCCTTGCATTCTGAAAGACATCGATCTTATACTCTTCCTTGAATTTTGCCGCAAAGTGGTGGAACAGTACTTCATCGAAATCCCTGCCGCCCAAAGACTGGTCAAAGGAATGAGCCAGTATTTTCAACTGCCCCTTCTTAAAACCAGCAATGCAGACTTGCATGCTAGCATGTCCAATATCAACAAAGGCAACATTCAATTGGTCATGTTCTGGTAAATCCGTCTTGTAAATACCATAAGCCAAAGCAGTCGCTGTAGTTTCATGGAAC